TGAACTGCGATCAAGCTGACAGATAGAAAATTTTCTTTGCTATCATAACGATGATAAACTTTATAATCCGTGAGAAGGTGGTATTAGATTCGAAACTAAAACCTATCTCTCAACTCTAATTGCCCGATTAATCACTATTTTCATCGCACCTAGACTACGGAAATTTTGGGCAACCTCTGCTACGCTTCCTTTGCAAACAAGGGACAAAACTGCTGCGCATACATTTGTCCGCCAAACCTGATTGGTTATGCAGTTGTCCTTGGTCCACGTTGATCAATACTCACCCAAGTTGTGCTTTGCTCATCGACTGGCCAGCGCTGATTGACCATTGCATCGCTAGCATTTATTAAACCACCAACCCCATTATCATTAGTACGCTGTTTTGTGTGTTCTGATTTATTTATTGCTTTTGGTCAAGGGCACAACAATACTGTGCATCAGGGCTGCGATCGGGAGCGGGCTTTATCAACATTGACGACGGAAATAAGGAGTCCATCATACTACGTTTTCTTACACCTTGACGGAGCTCAGCTAAGGAAAAACCCAAGTTTCTGTTTTTACAACCAATAACCATGCACATTTGTGTGTCGGCTTTAGTTGCTGTGTTTTGAATGCCCATTTGGTTAAAATAGATGAACGAAAATTGAAATGTTGCGAGCGAATTAAATGTGAAGATAAAGAATTCATAGGCTGGGGTCGCAAGAATATTGAGTAAATGCACGAGCGCCACTGTTTGCGAGACACAGCCACATCGCCGGTTGCTATGATCTCGGGGTCCCTATCCAGGGAGCCTAACGGCACCTATGTGACCCAGTCTTCTGGTTAGGGTTTTCATACCTTCATGCCAGGTCTTAGTTGAACCACCCTTAACCTTTTCCGTCGGCTACCTACTTCAGTAACCATAGCCCGCTGTAACAACCTATTTGGTGGTATGCGTAACACATGCCCCAGCCAACGTAATCTATTGAGGTCAACCACTTACTGGAGTAAGTGGACGATCGCGATTACCTAAAACTCTACACCTCACCTCACTTCCGGTTTCCTCAGCAGACTCATGTGATGCGACGTAGACAGTGGTGTTCGAACACTGGAAATCTATTTTTGTCCTCTTCACATAGTGGCTAAGTCTCTGCACTGAACGGCAGAACTGGCCGAACTGCTGCGGCATACACTCGACCATTCACGGACAGCCGAATGTCGCGTCGGCGCCACATATATCTCAAGTTGGCAAATGCCGTTCGAGCCTTTTGTATCCGCGCGGACATTTCATTTTTGATGCATCTGCCAAGTGAGATATAGCTGTCCAGATGGCAAGATTTGTCTAATTCCTCTTCCACTTCCCCAGTTAGGAGTTAAAGGGCTGAACTAACCCAATCTGGTAGTAACATTTTACACTTTGAAGGTGCAAAAGGCATACCGAGCATAGATACACTATTACCCAAACTATCCAAAGAAGCTTGCAACTTACCTAGATCTTCACTTACTAGCACGATGTCGTCTGCATACTCCAGATCAAACAGTCTACCACATGGGAGACAATCAATGCCGCTGTCCACGCAAGAGGCTGGAGCTGTTTCAAGAATTACATCAATGACAAAGTTAAACAGAAAAGGAGAGAGAGTGACACCCTGAGGAACACCATTTACTGTAGTAAACTCGGTCAAAAAAGCACCGTAAGTTTGGATTGAGTTTCGGCTATTAGTATAAAAGAATCGCAATAGTGAAATAAACTTCCCGGGCACACCCTTTAGAGATAGACAGTACCAAAGTGTAGTCGACTGAGTGGAAAGCCACTTTCAGGCCGAGGAAGATGGAAATGGTGGGTCTACGAAAGAAGTGTCTGTGTTTTCGAATTCTACGAAGAGTGAAGAAAAAACCTGCACTATACACATGGAGACGACGGAGAAGGGCATTTTCCGATTATGTTGAACTGCTTCGTGTGAATTAAACGCAAACGATGTTCATCGAATCAAACGGGGCAAAACTCTTTTGCCAATTTCTCGGTAATGAAGAGCAGCGTCATTTCGACGCATTGCTGATGATACTAAACGGGGTAAAGCCTTCAAATAGTACAGGAAGCTCTGGGAGTACTAGACTGATCAACTGTGCAGCCCTGTACAGCTTTTCTAAATTACAGCAAGAAACCAAAGGTGTCAACGAATGCATTATATGAATCCTACAAGCTCTGTCCGCATTCCGGTGTAATGAAATATAGACCTGAAAGTTTGAGAAAGAAATGGTGATACAATTCCTAATTTCCGGCATATAGATCTACTCGGCGCGCGAGGAATCACTGCCAGAAGAGAAATATAAACTTACGGGGAAGATAGCACGTACCGTTTTCTGACAAAGGGATAATATCTTCCATTTGTTGACTCATGTTTTCTCAACAAGGAAGCTCAGTTGACGTATAGTGTTTTGGAAAGGGATGCCACAAATAAAACACCCACCCAAAATTTGGTATGCACCATAAAGTCTTACGTTGGGAAATTCTGAACATAGCTGACTTTTTGTGTTAGATTGAGGGTTATTTCGAGTGACTGGAGGTGGATGACATGGATAGGGACTATGCTCTGGCCGCATTCGGTCGATGAAGTGGTGTGCAATAAACAATAATGAAGGATTTTTCCGGTTCGATCTTGTGCCCGATGTCTAAGAGATGGCCCGTGATGGCACTCGATATGGTAACGATCTTCCCCTGACTTAGCCATTTCGGGTGGTTTTCTTAACCAGTTCAGAGTAACCGACCTATGCAGCATGCACCACAGAGGTACTGAAAAGAATGAACTGGCATAGAGGTGACCAGATGGGAGTCTTTTAGTTGAATGCACATCACCGGTGACATGGTGAGCAACGATCTAAGTTTGACTGTGGAGAAAAAGGAATTTACAGCCGCCGGCATTGAGTGTACTCAAATTTCGGGGTGCGAGTTCTCCGTAAACGGAACCCCAATCAATAGTTCTTTCTTGAGGACAGAGAAGAGGTGTTTCTTTTCCGGAGTAAGCCAGATATTCCTATGAATCAAATTTCATGGATAATCATTATCCTGCAGTGTTTGGTGGATGAGCCGATATTCTTCATCCAATGTGTCTGGTGAACAAATTTTCCGGGCTAGACACAGGATTAAATTGTGTATACATGTAACGGTAACGAAAATAATGTTTTCTTTCGGTCGACGTGCCTTCTCACTGATCCATTTAACCTCCTTACACACTTACATCCAGAAAGGTCCATATTTTGTCAGTTTCAAACTGTACAGTGAGTTTTAATTATTGCTGCTCTTTTTTTATCTGAATTCAGTGTCTTAAACCAAGTCAGTGGCTGTCAGTATCTAAGACCTTTCCACTATATTATATGTAAAATCATGACCAGGAATGTCCGAAACCAATTGCTCGCTCCCCGATCCGTTTTCTAAATCTCAGAATATTCGTGATTTGTTACGGTAGCTTCAGACAAAGATTACCCGGAATAACTTTGGTGATCAGATTGAAGACGAACACCGTCAACGGCACATTGCTAATATAAACAAGGTAATGGTGATGAAGACGAGAATAATGTTGATGATGATGGTGACGATTATGGCGTTGACGATGGTGATCGCTTAATGCACAATATCTCTTCGTGATCATTTATGACGTATGGATCGATCCTAGTTCGGTATTTTCACACATTTTGTTAAGCATACGTCACATTGCGAGGGATCTCGTATCGACCACGTGTTATCCCGAGTCGCATATCGCACTACCTTATTTGGTTCTTCAGACACACACACACACAATCTGGTCGTGTGCCGTGTTTACATTG